TTTTAAATCGTACTCCATGGTTTTTCATATGATGCAATGAAAAAAAAACATTAGAAACGCTCTTTTTTTATTTTCAAATTTTTAAGTTAAGTTCATTTCATGGCAGCTCGATTGAAGACAGATCAACAAGGTATGGGAAGCAAAACATCTTAAATCAAGGATTTCAGTTTACAGATAATGGAACTCAAAGCAAATATATGTAATCTGCGGGAAGACCAACAACCTGTTGATTTTTAGATTCACTCAAAATGAGCATCATAAGAATTCAAAATTGTCATTATTGCCTTTGGATGCGTCTTTAGAAATGAGGATAATTTTTTGGGGGGAGGAGTGTTTACCCTCATTTATAAGGATAGAAAATAAACATACGGGTAGCACCCTACGTATTAAGAAAGTGAACAGATTTACCATGTATCAAAATAAATTTCACAGTTTCAGTCGGTGAGTGGTAAGTTTCAAAAAACTTTGGGCGCCCAGTGTTTAAAACAAATGGCGCCCATTTTCGCCGATACGGCAGTGTTTAAGATTCTAAATTTTTTCTGGATAAAGATTTTGAGCGGTCAACCCACGCACAACGCTTAAGAAAATCATTTTTTGAAAAAAAAAATGTTTACCGAGAGTGTATCAATTTATTGCATCGTTTACGCTTTTACTACGTATTCTCGTAGGTTTTTAGAAGTTTAGTATGTATTCCATCTCAAAGTGGAAATTAACTCATTGTTTTTTGAGGTACAAAATTAGCATCAAAGTATTAAACGAGCAGTTTGTATGAATTGACTCACCTTGTGGGTTGTCATAATTGTACAGTGGTGTACGCGGGCTAATTCCTCAATCAGTTAAAAATAGTTTTTGGAATTTTGCCTGAATATTTTTCTAATTGTCATTAAAAGTAAGAACAGTAAGTCTATTATAAACCAAATTGGACGTAGTGAATCTTTCCTCTTCAAAATCAAACTAGTTTTGATTAGATTGAGGCATGGATAGCAGCACAAAATAAATAGTTGAATATTCACTGTGAAACTTAAAATACATGTAATTTCTAATGCAAAAATGTTGCAACACTTTTGAATTTTCAAAAATTATTAGTACATTTTAAAACAAAAACTTCATTTTTTTTCCTCAAAACGTGCGTCATCTAGTTAAAAACAACCACGTTAACTAGTGACGTAACATCTAAACCGAAGTGTTACAATTTTGTCAAAACAATGGTTATAGAAAACTTCTCACTAAATCAAGACTGCCCTGATTGTCATCAGATTAGATCAAAAGTCTGTCATCATAAAATTGAAAAATGTAATAGTTTTCTCCATATTTGCAATAATCGTTTTGCATTTCATTGAAAAGAAACTCGGAAGTCAAAATATTTGAGAAATTAGAGCGCTTGAAAAATTTATGAAAATATTAGAAAAATGAAATATTGGAACGCATGAATGAAAACAAAAATCATTTGCATAGTTTCGCGCACTTTTCGGTGCTCTTTCACAATCTTCCAAGCTCATTCACAATTTCCATTCATTTTTCCCTCAGAAAGAGCAAAAACATACTCTTCAACCGTTAGAACATAGGTTGAAGATAGCCTCGTGCAAAAGAGCAGCACTCGGGCACTTCGAGCCCCCAGGTCGGGCTCTTTTTCGCTCGGGCATCTTTCAACTAAGTTCTAACTGCTACAAAGAAATCATTTATCGAATGTCAACCAAAAAAATAAAAGACTTAATACACAAGGCATTGTCAGACAATTAAACCAGAAAAAGTGAAGTCACTAGATTTTTTAAAGAAAAACAAAAGTACAAGAAAAACTAAACCAGAAAACAAAAGGAAGAGTATGTTTTTGCCCCTTCACACATGTTTTTTACCGACAAGGTATGAATGAAAAATGAAATGGAAGAACGTATGAATGAAAAAAGAAATGATTTGGATACTTTCGCGCACGCGCACTTTTCCGGGCTTTTTCACAATTTTCCGGGCTCTTCCACAATTTTCCGGCATCTTTCCCTCAGAAGGAGTAAAAACATACTCTTCAACAGTTAGAACATAGTTGAAGATGGCCTCGTGCAAAAGAGCAGCACTCGGGCACTTCGTGCCCTCACGCCGGGCATCTTTCAACTATTTTCTAACTACAACAAAGATCAGTTCAAAGTGTCAGTCAAAAATGGCGGTATGCGTGACCCCAGAAGTCAAGTTTCAAAACAATATAAGATAAACCATTTTTACATACCACTCACGTTGAATGGATCAAAATTTCGTTTAACAGAAGACTTTATTAAAAAGAACCATGGCAAAATTACAAGGACCTTACCTGATAATCGAGATTAACTATTAAGTTGTAGATACGTCACTTTGACGGACCGGGTTACATATTTAATATTTTCACAATGAACAATTAGACACTCCTAAATATCCCATTTTTAAAAGCAACAAAACATGAAACTGCTCCAAAACAAGCGAAAAAGGAACGTATGAAAAGCAGAAGACTCAAAGCAGGCCGAAAAATAGAAGAACACGGAAAACAGCAGCCAACCAGAAAGCATAAAAACGAGAGCAGACCAGGGCAGAATAAAAAAAGAAAAAACTGCTCGTTCCGTTTTTCTTTTAAGGTTTATGAGCAGTAATAACATAACAAATTAAATGTATTAAAACAAAATGATTTTTTTTAATTTGATTTTTTTAAATGAAAATCATCTACCCAATTGCACTATACAGTTCAAAAGTATATTTTTTGCTCCCTGTTTCCAATTAAATAAGGCAAATAAGCTTCTTTACACGAATTTGGAACAATATCTACGACAGATTAAATCTCCGCTTACGCGTCAATAAAGAGCTGATTTGAATTACACGGACAAAATAAACAAAACTTGAATTTTCACACACGTTTTTCTCAAATTGTGTTAGGAATAGACAAAAGTGAGAAGAAAAAATGTTGCTTAGAATTTCACCAAAACTAATATGGTGTAGTTTTTTTCTCCGAATTTCTCAACCAAATTTTTACCTCATAAAAGGATTATTTTGGCTTTTTGCAATCAATCAAGTTATACGCTGAAATTACTTTGTTAATAGATGAGCAAGTAATATCACAAGAAGCCTCATGTCTCTTATAAAGTCTCCAAAAACCTGTATGAGAGAAAATATTTTTGTCGTGGTAGTCAAGAAACCTGATTTATACTAACTAAAGTAAAAATATTTGCTTAAAAACAAATTTTAAACAAATAATTCAATTTTTTGGAGATTTAACCCTTCAAGAATTTTGTTGGGCTGTGCAAAAGGCTCCTTGTGATATATATTTCTCATCAATGAAAAATTAGTTTCAGCGTAAATCTTTAAAACCTGAAATAAGCCAAAATGACCCATTTTTGGGGTCAAATTTTGGCGCAAAATTTTGGAAAAAAAAATGCACCCTATTGATTATATTGAGCTTCTAACTATTTTTTTTCTCTTCGCTTTTTGTCTAATTTTACCCCAAATTGAGAAAAACGTGTTTGAATTTTCGAATTTCATTCCTTTGTTCCGGATAACTTAAATCAGCAACTTTACTAAAAACGATCACAGTAGGAATCATTTTCCAAATTTCAGCTCAAAACAACAATATCTTTTGAATGATATTAAAAAATGATACGTCAAAATTGGCTAGTTAAAAATTCAAGTTTTGCCTTAAAAAAACCCACCTCGAGCACGAATATTCCGTTACTTTAGTTGCAAAAGTCAAAAAAAAATCCGGAAAAGAAATCCATAGTTCACTTCAACTAATCTTAAAGAGGAAAAAGACAGCAGCCAAGCTGTCCTCAGCGGCGCTTCTCTTTGGAATCACTGGGCCTTCTCCGAAAAAGCTATACAAAAAATCCACCAGCAGAGACCGAAAAGGAAGAAATATCAACAGAAAGTTCTTGTGCTAATAAAGTGCTATTTTTTATTGATGTTGGGAATCTTAATTAAATAGCATAGAGGGGATTATATTGTTAAGTAGATCGTAAAAATAGGCCAAATTCATTTGGTTTTTTGAGTAGTTTGGGAGTGAAATTCGACATTCCTTATCCAGAAGAAATTACGCACACATAAAAAATGCATAAATGCGTAAAGAATTGAATATGTGTCAAAAGTGCAACAAAATAATTTGAATAGCAAAAAACTATGATAAAACAAAAACTAATTGTTAGATGTAAAATAGACTTTGCATTTTTTTTGCAAAAAGAGATCAGCAGAAAAACGAGTTGAAGTTTTTCAGCAATTGGACTCCGAACTAGGATAAAAGTCCCTAATTCGGCCACAAAAACAATTAAATCAAGATGAAATGAGACTCATTTCTCGGTTAATTGGAAATTCCGTAAAAACACCTGATTGTATGCAAATAGCGGTTTTTAAAAAATTACTTACGTGCACTGATCACAAATGCATATAAAGCCCCAGCGAAAACGAAAATTGAATTGAAAATTTAGAAGACGATATTGTCGGTTCTTAAAAGGAAAGAGTTGACGATTTTTTTGTTCAGACTCTTCTCGTAACTCTGACAATCTCCTTCTCAAACAAAACGAGCGACCTTGAATCAAGACTGAACTCAATGGAAACCAACCAATTGGACGAAAAACAAAAGGTACGTTCATGTAACATGTCCGTTGTAATTAAGAAAAAGTATTTGAAAAAAAGTGAAAATAATTGCGACTAACATCATATTAGCAACAATTTAGCTGGGATTCCCATAAAAATGATAAAAATTGAGTTTTCTGCGGAGTGGTAAAAACTAAAACTTGTTAAATTGAAACGTTGTTTAGTGGAGCAATAGAATTGAGAGTAAGTTGGGAAAATGTTTTTTTTCTCAAACTAAATCACAAAAAATTGATTTTGTGTTTAAACATGAATTTGCTTATCAACAATTTAGTTGCTAACCAAAATGTTTTCAAAGAAAAGTATCTTGCAATTTTCACAATTTTAAGTCATTTCAAAAATATGCAATTTGAGACGTAATCAATTTTTTTTTACAATTTGTGATAATGTCTACACTTTTTTCTTCAGACTCTCCTCCTGACAATCTCCCTCTCAAACAAAACGAGCGACCTTGAATCAAGACTGAACTCAATGGAAACTAACCAATTGGACAAAAAACAAGATGTATGTTCATGTAACTTGTCCTTTGTAATTTAGAAAAGGTATTTGGAAATTTTTTTAAAAAAAAATTGCCACTAACATCATATTAGCAGCAATTTAGCTGGGCTTTCCCACAAATAAAAAAAATATTTTTTTCCCTGGAAGAGTAAAACGAACTTTTGTTAATTTGCATCTTTGCTTATTAGAACAAAAAAAATGAGAGTAAACTGGGAAATTTTTTTTTCTCAAACTAAATCACAAAAATTTGTTTAAGATTTTGTGTTTTAACATGCATTTGCTCATCAAAACTTTAGTGGCTAACCGGAGATAATTCCAGAGAATAATTACTAAAAAACCTTGAAAAATTTTTTTTTCTGTGTCATATCGATCAAATTTATGCATCTTGCAAATTTAACAAACTCAAGTCATTTCAAAAATATGCACTTTGAGACGAAATAATTTTTTTTTCATAATTTGTGATAACATATAGTCTTTTAGAATTGCAGTAAATATATTTCAGGAAACAAACATCATCGTTTTTCAACGACGAGGTCAATTTGATGTTGATTTCCATAGAAATTTCTCCGAATACGAGAATGGTTTTGGAGGCTCAACCACCATGTCAGACTTTTGGCTGGGATTGAAAACAATGCATAACTTGACCAAACAAGGAAAATGGAAATTAAGAATCTGGACGCGGCAATTCTTAGACAATCTAGTCATTTGGGGCGAATGGGAAGGTTATAGCTAGTAGTTACGTTTATTTTATTTTAAAAAAGCTGACCTTTGATTGCTTTCCAATTTCCAATGAAAGATTTCGTCTTTTTTCGGGTTGTTTGAAATAATTAAAGATTTTTATTTAAAGAAAACTTCCCATGAAGTATGTTGTACGTAATTGTTTATTTGATATAGATTGGTACCGGAAACTACGGAAAATGAAAGTTTTTTTGCGTTTTCAGAGGGCTTTGAACAAAAGATCACGTTATTTCAGGTAAAAATAGAATATCGTTCAGTAGTACGAAAGGGGGCCAGGAGGTTTTATTCATTTTTCCTTTTCTTGTTCCTTCGTATCCTCTGAAAATTTTAGAGCTCCACAACCTTTACTAATCATTATGATAATTTTTATAATTTTCTGTATTCAACCAAAACTTATAAAACTAGGTCAACATTTTTTTGCTGGCAAAGTTAAAATTAAACCCTCCTACAATGTGAAAATCAAGCTCCATTGTTGCATAATTTCATTTTCGGCGAGTCTAATTTGCGATCACATTTGAATTGTTTATCTAAAACAAAACTTTTAAAAATCTCAAAAGTCAAAAAAATCCATGTCAAAAATTAACTTGTACAAGTTTAAGGAGTATTTTCTTTGAGACATCAGAAATTAAAAACGTTCCGTCTATGCCACTGAAAACTAATGATCACATTGGTTTTTAAAATTTCAACCTTTTGCCACCCAAAAAGATCATTTGCCACGTCAAGACTTTCAATGCTTCTTTGTTTTTAAGACTTCACGGTCGGCCCTCACCCCTTTTACCGGTTATCAGTTGGACCAACGGTGGCGAGTAAGAACATGTGGTACCTTGACGATGCGGGTCCTGGGCCATGGGCACGTCGTGGCCTTCAATATCACAATGGAATGACCTTCAAGACTTATGACATGGGCGAAGATGGTATCTGTGCTGTTAAGCATACTGGCGGCTGGTGGTTCCGTGGATGTCACAGTATGCACCCGAATGGAATGCAGACAACTTCGAATTCATACCAGGATGGCAGACAGATGTCAATCACAAATGAGACAGGACAACGAACATGGATTTCTTACAGTGAGATGACAATGATACGTATTGGATGACTCAACCAACGATCAAAACGCTGTTCAAGTGACGAAGCCGAAGTCTTAGATTAGAAAAGTTTGAAATACAGACAATATTGATTCCAAAATTGGCTTTTTTCCTCCCCTCCCCCCGCCCTCCTCGCATAAGCATCATTTATATGGTTATTACAATGGGTTTTAAAGGGTTAAATATGAAGACAAACTATATTTTTCATAGCCTAATCAATTTTTTTACAATCGGACAAGGTGAACAGAAAAAAGGGGGATGAACCCTTGCATAGGGGGAGGGGGAAAGATCCCCAATAATTAACAGGAAAAGAGCCCCAATATTTAACAGAGGAGGTTCAATCACATCTCTACGTTTAATTAAAAGAAATGTCTAATAGTGCCTAAATTCTTCATTCTGGATTTTTGAAATGAACCAAAAGTTGAAAAAATACCGCTAATTTTTAAAGCAGACATGCTAAATTAAATTTTGATGAAACAATTGTAGATGAAGCATTTTGTCAAATATGAAATTTGATAATCCCTTGTTGAACAAAAAAAATTGAAAATTTGAAAAATTGTTTCAGCTTGAGAACTCAGACTGATTCATTTAACATCTGGCTTGCTGTGTTTCGAGACACTGAAAGTTTGATGAGCCGATGTTGGTTTTGCGCCAGAAAAGTAACTCTGTCCAATGTCTGTCTTAGTTAATCTTTTCATTCATTAATTTGATAACGTTACCTGATTTATATAATTTAGTGATTCATCAGTGATCTGGAATTTTTTGTCTGTAAATAGAATTCGATGTTCATACGGAGGCCTATAGCCAAAAAAATTTGAACTGCTTTTTATTTGAATTAAATTTTATAATAAACACCCAGAATCAAATTACAGATTCAAAATACACGTAATTAGACTAAATCGAATTGGTTATTGTTTTTATATTACCTTTCATACTAAACCGGGTTGAATTTGCGAGTGTGAGTATACCAGTCGGATAGTATAAGCCAGACGAAAGCTTGCAGAGTATCTATACAAAACAAAAACTCCGTAAAAAGGTAAACAAACCAGCCAAAAAGTGACGTCGCGTGTATGAAACTTGGGTGTCTTCCGTTTAAGCAATTTTGGCCGGTTTATACGACCGGAAGCTGATTTATATTTTGACTGGATTTATACAGAATTAGGCATAGAATGATCCATTCTAGTATTTGGTATCGATGAAACTTTTACTGTACTTATTAACGGTTTTCAGAATCTGATTCAACTATGAAACATAAAAGCTAAATTACAATGATGATTTTTGATGAGTTGTGCCTAAAGCATAGACATTAGATCTATAATCATCAATGAAACTAATTCAATTAGTTTTTATATGGAAACTAAATCGCTGGAATTTAAATCAAATTACAATTGAGGTTTATATTTTCCTTCATTAGGTATAACAGTGAAATTATAAATTAAAACTTTTTTTCGGATTCAAAAAACCTATAATAAAAATCTACTGAAATTCGTTATTTTGCTTACAAACCCGTCAAAATTCGAAAAAGAATAGCCGTGTAAACAATGTTTCATTTATATACCGTAGATAAAGATTAAGGATTGTTGAGCATACCACGTCTACACGGCTCTTGCACCCCTATTTTTCCGACTCTTGAAGAAAGTGAGAACATTTGTTTGCTGTGTTTTATTCAAACATCTGCACAAGAAGTCATTTCTTTGTTCAGAGTTTATCTATTGTACTTGCAATGAACAAGAGTTGATTTTCTATACGAGCAAGAAGCACGTTAATTCTACCTCAAAGTCAACAAAGTGTTTCTCGTGCGAGAAAACAGTCCAAGCTAAAATTTAATTCAACAACAAGGCAAAAAATAAGGAGACAAAGCAGGAAAACGGAGTGATTCCGTCGCTGAGTTGAAAAAAAACCTAAAAAACGAGAACAATAGTGAAAAACTATGAGATGAGTTGAATACCTGTCAACACATTCTGACAGACACCGAGATGTAAAATGGACGACACAGGATATTCAAATTTCAACTTTCGAGAACAGAACCCATTCTAGTCAATGAAAACCTGGATCAAGTCTTTGAAACTTTGATTGCGTTGCGAAAATTGACATTTCTCTGGGATTTCTGTTACATAATTTGAAAACAGACGAATATCGTTATTTCTCTTTTTGTGAGAATAACACTCTCTTCGAGAAATCTATGCTGCTCTGTACTGATGCAGACTTGACGAATATGCAGAACAAAACCAATAAGCAAGAGATCTTGGAAATTTGTACGCAAGAGGGTCAAAATACGAATTGTTTGATCACTAACGTCACCATTTTTGCCGCATTGCTTAAAAGTGTACCAATGGTAACTGCAGATTCAGTGATTCCCGAACCACTTCTGGAAAATCATCAAGTTAACTTTTTCGTTTCGGATTCACGGAAGCAAATACACAATTACAACTGTTTTGTTTTGAGTAATTGCGGTTCATTCGCGTAGAGATAAAACTCTTGAAACTTCCAGATTGAAAATCTTTTGATCCGGATTATGACCCGAAACAGTTTCCCGCGGCTTCGATGGGTCATTTGGCAAAAATGGAAGCTGTATCAGAAAAAAAACAGATTTACTTACCATAACGTCTTTGAAGATGGAAAAATGTGGGCCACTTAGCTCGGAGAAGTTTTGGTAAAATCAATAATACAATCATAATCTTACGACACAACAACAATTATGCTTATGTCAATAATATCGACCTTTTTTTTTCAAATATTTTAGATACAAAACTTGCTACACAATTTTTCATAAGTCAAACAATTCCCTTGAACATATTCTACGATGCAAAAATCGAATAAAAAATGGTACTCCAAAACAGCTTAGCTATGACGTAGGTTCAAAAATGAGATTACGAAAAATCAATTTTGATCAATAAAAATTGCAATTTTTTTAATTTGAAACAATTGGCGTACCGAGTGAGGAGTTCAAATCGAAAGAAAATCATCATCCGGAGAAGTAAAACCCACTTTTGAAACAATTTTATCCAAAATGCTTGACAAACCCAGATTTCTGTGCGAGAACAATCCGCAACACCTAGTTTTTGATTTTCTGGTACTTTTGGACTTGTTGGCTGACCAAACAAAAGCAGAGATGCAATCGAAATTTCAAAAAACAAAGACCAAAATAACTACATGCGCTTTATTAGTATCCCTAATGAGCGAGGCGGTATCAAAAGAAATGATCCCAGAGAATACAATGACGAATGTGACGAAGACGAGAAAAAATTAGACGCATTCACTCTCTTTTTCGAGTTTCAAAAAAACAACAATTGGTTGATTTGGTGCAATATCTAACGCGACACTTCAAAACTCTACTAGTAGAAAGATTCAGCCCCTAAAAAACTTTTATCTCTTTTTCAACCCGATCATCGAAAAAAATGAAGCTTCCCGCATCTGTTTCTTGTTTCTTTCAATCTTGGAGACATTCAGGCTCTGAACAATTTTAACATTTTGGGTGGAGCTACTACGTTAGACTGTTTTCTATGAAATGGCAAAGCCAGTGACATGAAAAGATACCGTCCCTCGCTACTCTCAACAAGCTAGATGAAGAAAAACTAGCTCTGGTTGATGATTTTTTTGAAAGTAAAAGTAAGAACAGCAACACCCACGATAACGATTAACACCACTTTCAGAAGTTTCTCAAAATTACGTAATATGAAGAGCAAGCTATAAAACACGGAACTAAAAAGCATACACCTCCTATAATACTGGAAAACTAAAATTGCATAAAATTAGCTCGGAAAAGTGGCAACATTTCACAATTTTTTTATAGTTCCAATCTTTGATGCTATGGAGATAAAGATTGAAACCTATCACAATAAGGGGATGGACATGTTAAACCTCGAGTGCACACTATCGATTCTAGCTGTATTTGTCTAAACAGGTCAACAGACTATCAGTTTTATCCGATCTTCTCAAGTCATAGGGACTTGCTTAAAAAATAGGGGCAGAAAAGACTGTTGACCTGTCAATTGTTTTCACTAAAAGAACAGTAGCAAACGAGATGTTAATTCGAAGATCTGACAACTTGAAAAAATCAATCGCTGGAAATGATGAGAGTCATTTCTATCCTTACTATTTGTGTCAGGATATGCCCACAAGGTTGTTTACGAGATGGGACCACCTTAGAAAAACACAAAACTCGGGCTCAAAGCAAGGCAAATTTGGGTTTGCCATTTTTAAACTGTGTTTGTTTCATATAGCAACCGAAACTGAAAAAAAAATCGAAAGCTACTTTATTACAGGAACTCAGAAAAAATCGGTTGCTTCAGTGTTGATAGTATTTGCGACTATTGTAAAACTGTTCTTGAAGAAAGGTGACGTTATTTCATTTCTGTCATTCCAGAAGCGGGATCTTTCTTGAGATGATAGCAAACGAGGAATCAAAAAAATGTGCGAGCTTCGAAAAGATTACATTCGAGAAAATGTCTTCTCCGTAGACAAAATGTGGGAATGTAGGTTGTTAGATCATTTAAAAAACAGTAGACGCAAAAAATCACGTTTAAATTAACTTTTGCTGCAAAAGACCTCTTTCTTCTAAATCATTTTTGCAAACACTTAGAGATCGAAACAAGATTTGTCTATGTGCAATGCGATCTCAAGGTTCCCGATGATCTAAATTTAAAATATTCCAATATCCCACCAAATTTCAAAAGTATCGATGTCGCCAGAAATGTTAATTTATTTCAATATTTACCCAAAAACTCTTACTATTGATTTACCAAGAACCAA